GGATTCATTCAGGCATTTTTGTTCGCACCGCGCTGTAGCCGTGGCGACGAGAGCCTGCAGAAGCGCCCCGAACCTTCGAGGTGACGGCGACGACAGCGACTCTTGGCAGAACACATCGGCCAACACGCAGGTACCACCAGAGGCAAGAGCCCCGCAGGGTCCTCCTCGTGGTGTGCTCTCTCTGCGTATGGCGTTCCGCCGTGGACATCTCCAATCTTTAACTCGGGCAAGCACCTTGGACCCTCGCTGAAGGTGGCCCGCTGGTGATGTCGCTTCTCCTCCATCCAAGCCAGCAACACCTCGGCACGCTCAAGGGGATGGCGCCAGGGGGGGCGGCCCTCTACAAAGGCGGGGAGGAGGTCGCAGACAGAAAGGGGGGCTTCTCACAAGGGCTCAGGGCTGGACCTAGGCGTTGTCTTTCGCCTTGTGTTCGTCTTGATGCTTCCTTCTGCTCTGCCTGTTTTCCTGCACCTCCCTGCCAGAAGGAACACCAAAGCACAGCGGAGTCCAGCAGCACAGCGCTTACGCCCAGCCCTGTCTCGCAAGGGCCCGGGGCCTCTCGTGCAGAGGCCAGGGAGGGGGGGGGCTTCCTGGCGGGCCTCCCACGCCCCCCCCGCGCGCGCCCATTCCCCGGGGCGCGCGCCGCCAAACTCGGGGCGTGCTGGCCTGGCGGCGGCGACTCTCGCCGGGAGGAGCCGGAGGTGGTGAGGCACAGAGGCGGTCGGGGGCCCAGGCTGAAACCACGTTTGCGTTACTAGACGAGCGCGTTCCGCTACTCGCAAAGTAGCAGCTCGCAAGCGGCCTGGATCCGCCGGTGGGGATCTACGATCCATGCCATCGAAGCAGGCATGTGTTCTTCGGACGTTTGCGAGTAGGCACTTTGCGAGTAGTGGAACGCGGTCGGTGAGTTGCCGAGGAACCCTGCACACCTAGTGTACCTGCGGCGCGCTGCTGCAATCACTGCGTCGCGGATGGTACGGGGCGCCCACCCCCCGCCCCCCTTGCGTGCCCCCCTCTGGTGTCGAGCCAGTGCGCGACAGATGGCCCTCCCGCCCCCTGCGCGCCTGGGGTCGAGGAAGTCCAGGTCT